TCCACTGGATTTTGCGACTATAACCACCCCAGAGCACCACCCTGTTGGCTCTTCCACGGGTTCTATTTTTCCCATTTCCTCGAGCTTCTCCTTTGTCTTGCCCAGCAAAGGAATGGCTACTCTTCGAGGCGTCATCAGTGCAGAACGAACTGCGTCATCCTGAAGTCCGATTTTGTAAGCTTCTTTAACGTGTCCTAGCCCAGAAAAAGATTGGGAAGCTCACTTTCGGGCTTGACATTTCCAGTGCGTAAAATCGCAACGTCGCAGACCTTTCGGACGATTCCCAGCTTCTCACTGGCATCTCTCAAAAGAAGAGCTTCATCCGAGTCGTTAACAACATGCAGGTCTTCTTTTGTTGTCGACTTGGTTCTGTAGGTCATGTCCTTCGTGATCATTCTCAGCACGTCTAGTTCATGGTGACCGGGGCCCTTTAGGATCTTCGTGGCCCTCTGCAGGGACGTCTCCGAAAAAGACGCTTTGTATGTCTCAGTTGGAATGAATGCCACCTCGGCGCCAGTGTCGACTTTGAAGGTGATCGGCACTTTGCAGACTTGCACTGTCACCGTCTGCCATCGCCTTTTTTGGCATTCGATGTCTCCAAGAGATGCAGTTTCTGTACTGGAAACTTGGTTCAGGGGTTCAGCGCTGTCGAGTTTCGGGATTCGCGGGCGTAATGTACAATTGTGCGACATTTAATGCACTTCGCCTTTCGTGCCGGACACTGCTCTTTCGAGTACTGACTCTTGCCACAGCGTGAGCAGTGTCCAGTCGATGTTTGACACTGAGCAGAGTTAGGTACCGTCTTCTCGCCCACTATTCTTCCACGGTTGACTTTTCTTGAAAGAGCCTTTTTTGATATGTGAAAGCGATCCACATTGGTGTCACTGGACGTGTGAAGTCTGGTCTATTGGTGTTTCACAACCTCAGACTGTAGCGCAATGTTTGTTGCTTTTTCAAGCGTCAAGTCTCGATCAAGCTGCAGTTTTTCAGAAAGCTTCTGATATTTAAATCCTACCACTATCCTGTCTCGGATCATTTTGTCGTGGAGTGTGCTGAAGTTTCAGAACTTGGCAAGTTTGTGCAGATCTGTTATGTACTCGTCGACGCTCTCTCCTTCTCTTTGACATCTCCGATGGAAAGTGTCTCGCTCATAAACAACGTTCCTCCTCACGACAAAGTGGTCCTCAAAGGCTTGTACCCAAGCCAGCGTCCGTCGAGAATCAGCCATTCAATCATATATTTCGAGCACCCGTCCCTCTTCTTCAACGTCGTTTTTTCCGGTTCCCGCCTCGCGATGGCCATAGCTCCTAGCACAGTTAGTAGATTTGCATTTTTTTTAAAGGGTCGTACGCCCTTGAGTATGAACTTTGTTAAAGCCAAACTCACTACCATACGTGTGATCTGAATGTATGTAATTTCAAATTCACGGGACAAATAGGCGCCTAATCCACCGCCTGATTTGTCAAACATATGTCTTAGTATTAACTTTAGAAATGTTCTGTGAGTTATTATAATTGACAGGATGCGGATATTGTTTGTTGAGCAAACAGGGCGCTTGTAGGTGGCAGTATTGCGGGAGCAATTACTCTGGAGCAGCTACCCTCGCCAGTTATTATCATTTGAGATAGTACGAATTGGATGTATTTATATTCGCTGAGACGTTATATAAAACAACAACAACAACAATTACATTCTAGAGAATATAACAAAATATAAAAACGAATTTTGTTCAGAGCGTGAATCGCGAAAAGTGTCCTTAAAGATCGGCAAGTACCCAAACGCAAAATGTAGGGCACGGAAGTTTTTATTTATAAATATAGACCTGTGTGCGTAAAATGAACCTGAACGTTGAAAAAAACGTATCTCACTTGCGAGTGTATTCATCCAACCAACACACAGGTTTACGAAACAGCAGAAAAATGTGCTCGGACCCCCCTGCGATCTGCGATAGGCGGGAAAATTTCCCTTTCCGCCTCGTTCGCTTTAGTGGTTGATAAGATGTAAAGAAGAGAAAACATTATCTGGACTTGTGGCTTATGCCTTTTTTCTACATTAGAAGTATTATAGATTGGGCAGGCAGATAATGTGCTCGTAAAAAATGACAAATTCGAACCCCCAAAGCTTGGCGGAGTTGAGGCAATATTATATTTGGAATGTGCTCCCACGGGGGAGCAATTTTGATAGCTCATCAAAGCCTGTTCTTTCCAGACACAACTTTTAAGATTTCCTATGAAAAAGGGGCCTGCAACAGGTTGAGTAAGACATATCTGACTCAAAACACAACGATGCATCATTTTTCTCCAGTTCGATTCCAATATTACCAGCTTCACCGTGCCGATATATAATGACTCGTTTTGTACTTTCGTAATTTGGAAAGTCGACCGCTAGAACAAACTACAACAAAGGAGTGAATTCACGTAATGCGAGTGTGTTCCACTGCAGAAGCCGCAAATAGTTTATATGTGCGGCAGCATGAGACGACTCTGGTACCCCTCAGCACTGAAGTTCCAGTCTCCTACACTTTGGGGCAAGGTCATCATTAGCGCAGAATGTTAAGAGAGCTCTTCGGCCTTTAGTAAACATTGCGAACCGAAGCTAAAGTTGAAACATCTCCAGTCTCAGTTTCAAAGGGCCCGTTCGATTCCGTCTTTTCATGCGCTCGTTACTGGAATAATCAAAAGAGTAGGGGCTTGTGACAGAAAACGCTTCATGGCGACCAATCTACGGGTATCGAGCCCGCTTTTGAAACGAAGAGCCGACGCGATGTCGCTCTTCCAGTTCAAATTAAGCATCCATACATGAAAGACGGCATATCGTTTGCTCCGTTGCCGAGGCCAATCATACTGGCGCTTCCGCATTTTTTTTCCTTATTTGCTCAACTTGTGCAACGTGTTGTCGGTAAAAGAAGCCGCGCTTAATAATTTGTAAAGCACAAATAGGATCCGGGACATGGCATCAAGCTCAATGTTTGCTGTGGTTTAGTGGAAATAGATCTTTATGCTCACTCAGCGTGTGTATTTGCCCGACAAAATGTTTTCCTACGGATAAACACAAACGTCTCGGCGTATATAGGTTTTACTTCGCTTCGCGGGGACCTTTTGAATGAACAAGCTGTAAAAATATTCACGAGTAGTTCTTTCCCTTACGGGTGGTATGGAGAGTATGGAGAGGAAAAAATCCTTTCTTTACCTGTTTTTTTTTTTTTTAAGATAAACGTGCTCAGGTTGGGTTTGTGACATTTCGAATGCGCGGAAAATATAAAATTATACTAAAACTGAATTCCGCAATGTCTTAGGAAAAAAAAAACGTGCAGTGTAATATTTTTGAATGTTACTTTGATATTTAACAATAAGGGGTCAACCAGCCGAAAATAAAGCCTACAACAAAGCAGTAGCGGTAAATCCTAATTGTCCACACATTGGCTGGGGCGCAGGTCCATAATGTTCGTTTCCAATAGGAAATATATTATTTCAAGAGTATAGTTTCATATGTTTTGTTCCACCAGCTTTGGTGCAACGTGTAGAAACATGCAACAGGCAAAAGTGTTCACCTCTAGAAGCATTATGAAAGGTATAAACGATTTTTCTGCAGATGTCTGCAAATATATAATTACAGGGAGAGTCATATATGATTTTACCTCAGAAGTGAGGGTCAGAAGTTAGTCACGAGGGAAGCCGTAAACGCTAGGGTCCATGATAAGCGGAATATTATTTGGCAAGTTACGTTAAAAAATGCGCACACCGACATTGGGATTTCCTGCCTTCTCTACGCCGCCATCGTGGATAAATGGTATAGATTCGCCACTGAGCACGCGAATGGAAAGTTGGGCTAGTTGGTAATAATCCATATTAAAAAACAGCGCGAAAAACACACGGAAAAAGAGAAGGGAACACACAGGACGAGGCGCTGACAATCAACTATCTATTCTGAAAAACATACATGACAAAGAGATGTATGTTTTTCAGAATAGATAGTTAATATTTAGCGACAACTTAATCTATACTAAGTTGAGACTACAGCAAAGGCTTCAAGCGCGAGCTAGCCTGCTCTCCTTTCTTTGAGAGGTGTCTTTTTAGCGCGGGCGCCCGTTTTGCGGAAGTATGTTTCGAAGTTTTGTACCAAGTGCTCTCGAGCTTGTAGCATACAGTCTCAGCTTAAGGGTGGACGAAGTATCTATAGTCCCAATACTGCATGTGACAGCGATATGTGATTTCCACAAACTATAGACAGATCAAGCTTGTAATATTGTTGTCATTAGGCAATTCATCTAACACATATTATGGAAATGTAAAAATTTGCATCACTTGGGCAACGCTATAAAACTGTACGCACCAGTAATAGCTTAGACTTGAGCATAGACGACAATCAGGCAGAAATGTTTCATGTTTGATGTCGGAAATACCCAAAAAGCACAAATATTCACGAAAGAAACAAACAAGTTAACATGCGCGTTTCTACTGTTCTGAAGCCGCGTCTGTGGCGTTGCCGCACGGCTGACTATATCTTGTTTTTTTAGGACGTCCCGGTTTATCATCGCGTCATGCGACTACATGGCGGCACCCAGGGATAACAAACCCAGATGCGTGATTAACTTTCATCGACCGTGTCAACATCAGTCACCGACGACATGTTTGTCACTGTGTCTCAGAATTTTGACCGGCATGCAGTGAGCGCAATGAAGTCAAGTGCCCCACAGGTCGGCGTCCAACTGAATACAACAACTTTGTAAAGCGAGGTTTGCTCTTATCCAGCGCACATATGAAGTCGGTGCTGCAACAAAACAACAACTAAAAATCATCTTTGTTGATGCAGCACGTCTGGAGCGCGCGTTTGCAGGTACCGCATGAAAAACAACCCGTAACATTCGCTATAAAAAGAAAATAATTATTGAAAAAACAGAGTGCTTTCTCGCGGTGCATTGATCGGTGTGCCATTGAACGACGACAGCTGAGACGTTGAATGGAACATGCCATCCTTCCCGCCTTTTATCTCCCGAACAGGCGCCAAGGAGATGAAGGTGCTCAAGACCGAGAAATCCCGCTTTGTCAGTGTCAACGGAAAGATGCAGGGGACCAGCACAAAGGAAGAGACAGGTACGTAATCAACAACGGGACACAGGATGTCAAAGGGAAACAATGTTACCATTGTCGCGAGTGCTCTGTTCTGCCCTTTCTCTGGCGCACTTCTTCGGAGATGGGGAAGTGTTCTGCGTCTACGCCTTTTATTCTTTGTATTCCACCTGTCTCAATAACGTTGTTTTAAAAGCACACGTTGAGTGTTCTAATGATGAGTAAACCGTATTTCTTTTTGCGCAGAAATGCGTTCGTTGCTAAAATGAGGACAAGAACGGAAGCCTAAATATTGTTTTTGCGCGTGTACGATCTTGACACTGCGATATCAGCTTCATCGACATGGGTAAGCACGCACCTAGTGCAAACAAGGGTGCGTCGTGCTGTCATTTCCTTGTATTCACTCTTGTGTACTTCTTATTTCTCCTTATTTCTCAACGCACCTACACTCGCGACACTGTTAGCTCGAACACCACATTTTCGCTTTTTTGCATTCTACCTCAAAGGGCATTGACCGCATCAATTATACCGTTTAGGTTATTGTCTTAAATGAGCACTTTCTACTAGCTTAGTAGGTTTTGTGACAACTGTTCGATTATAAGTGACTGAGAAGGAACAATGGCGATTGCTTGTTCACGTTCACAGTGTACGCCATATACCAGGATGTACACGTACCGTGCACGTCATTAACTATGACATAACTATATTTCGGTTATTACCACTACCCACTACAACTATGACTACTATTCACCAGTGTTGCGGAATGGGCACTCCCATTCCATTCCAATTCCATTCCGGGGAATTAGAGTTTTCGATAATTCAATTCCTTTCAATTCCTAGGAATCGAGACACTGGGCCCATTCCCACTCCTGGGATGGCTGAATCGTTCCATTCCATTCCTTTAAATTCTAAACGTAAAAAAAGGGCACTTGACAGCTACATTTTGTTGCCGGCATAAGCAGCATAAAGCTGACATTATCAAATGCGGAGACAATGGCAAAAAAAAGCTAAATTCCTCAAAAAAGCATTGAGTGTACTAAGCGGACCGCTGGTGGCAGAAAGTGTTTATTTACATTGTACTGCAAACATCGAGAAAGCCCTTTAATATGTCGATGCTTGTTTAAGACATCGGCCAGAATGTTCTACACGCCGAACCTTCTACGCCGATTATTTCAGAAGCCCACACGTGTACATAAGGGGCTTCGCGTGGCGATCTGCAGTGAGTTTCGCCCCAGCGTTCAACTCTGCTGCTACGCCGACTTCGACGCCCGCGACGCTCTGTTATTATCTTTTGTACCCGTTTATTTTTGGCACAAGTTCGCCACATTAAACGTTTATTTCTTCCTGTTTATTTATTATTTTTTTGGTCACCACCCGTGACATTTTGGTGGAGGTGCGGGTTACCGCATGCCCGTGCAGCGTTCCCCTTTAAGGGCCTGCAGTGTAAGTCCGGTTCCCAGCTCGGTGAGAAGACCACTCACCGCGGAACCTGAAACTCGGACCAGCCGCCGCACCAAGGGAGAGGATCCTGACTACGGTTTACTGCTGGACACGCCCAAGCCGAAGATGACGACGATGACCAACCAGTCGCAGAACCCCGCCGCTCCTGCCGTCGTCTACCTACCCGTCGCTTCTCGGACACTGGCTCCCTTCCACGGCGAAAGCCACGAAGACATCGACGACTGGGTCCAACAGTACGAACGAGTGGCCCGTCATAACGGGTGGACACCAGAACAGTGTCTACAGAATGCTTACTTCGCCTTGGAAGCAACCGCTCGGAACTGGTTCGAGAACCACGAAGCATCAATCACCTCCTGGGAGCAACTCAAAGCTGAGTTGCGAAGAACGTTCACGAACCAACAGCGAAGAGAACGCGCGGAAGAGCTTCTTCAAGCGAGGATCCAAGGCCCTAACGAGAGCATCGTCAGCTTCGTGGAGGATGTCCTGCGACTCAGCAACCGCGCCGATCCTCAAACCTCCGAAGCGAAGAAGCTCAGAATCCTGATGCGAGGCGTCAAAGAAAACATCTTCGGCGGCCTTGTGCGAGCCCCGCTTACCACAGTCGAAAAATTCATCACGGAGGCAACAAACATTGAACGTGCCCTTCAAGCACGGGCCTCCCATTACCAGCGACTTCCCGGCGTCGCGGCCCTCTCGACTTCCAGCTGCAACAGCCCGGACCTCCGCGAGATTATCCGGGACGTCGTGCGGGAGGAAATCAGGAAGCTGCTACCTGCTGCCACAAGCCAGGCTACGCCCTCAGTTGCCGAGATTGTCCGGGAAGAACTTCAGCAGGTGCTGCAGCCAGAAGTTCTCACCAGCGCCGCTCCTGAACCACCGAAGCTGAGCTACGCCGCAGCTACCCGACGACTACCACCCTCTGCCCACCCGAATACGGCGCCACCTCGACGTGAACCCCTAGCGCCACAGTATTCCCGACGCCAGGAAGATCGGGCGTACGTCCGCCCAGAACAAGCTGCGCCACGAAGGACCGACGTGTGGAGGACGGCCGACCGACGCCCGTTGTGTTATCATTGCGGTGAAGCCCTGCCACATTTACCGTCGATACCCGTACCGACAACTGGGGCTGCGCGGGTTCCACCCGAACGACCCGCACCCAAGGTACGACGAACGCCCTCGTGAGATCGAAGAGTACCTCCGCCGTTTGCCATCCTCAACACCGCTCCGCCGTGAGTCCCGCTCACCGTCGCCCAGACGTTCAGCGTCTCCAGCGCCACGACCCCGCCGAGTGAGCCTGTCTCCTTTGCGCCGCCGGGAAAACTAAGTGCGGCAACGCCTGGAGGTGGCGTTGCCGAAGACGACCGAAGTAAAGAGCCTCCAAGAACGCCGGAGCGCTCCAACTCTCTCGACGCTACGCATCACAACGACGTCCCTGCATCGGTGTCCAACAACCTAAACATTACTATCGACGGCCACGACGCATCGGCACTCCTGGACACCGGAGCACACTACTCAGTCTTGAGTGGGAGGCTCTCTCGTCGCCTGCGAAAAGTAACAACGCCGTGGGAAGGCCCTCAAATACGAACCGCCGGTGGGCACCTCATCACACCAGTCGGGCGATGCACTGCTCGCGTTGAGATCCACGGTGAGACGGGCCCTGTGAAGTTTGTCGTCCTGCAAGACTGTTCGAGGGACGTTATCCTCGGAATGGACTTCCTCTGCGAGTATGGCGCCGTCATCGACCTCGGAGCAAACCGGTTGACGCTACGAAAACCTATTTTACCACCGGAGGAACTCAAAGCGACGTCATCTGCGATCCGAGTCCTCGCCAGCCACGTGAACTTACTGCCGCGGTCGAGTGTTTTCGTACCCGTCGGGACCACCGAAGCTTCCTCCGGTGAAGTTCTGCTCGAAGGAAGCCTCCAGTTGCTTCTTGGAAGAGGAATAGGCGTCGCAAGAGGAGTTGCTGAACTTCAGGATGGCCGCACTGTGGTACTCGTTACGAACTTCCGAAATGAAGCGCAACACCTCACGAAAGGTGCAGCCGTGGGCCAGCTCGAGGAACTTCGAAACTCCGCCGCTATCGCCGCCATTACTGACGAATCCTCGCCACCTCAGCAAAACAGTACGTCGCCGGCGCAGCTCGACATTGACCCTAAGCTTCCGAGCCCGAAACGACGGCAGCTGCTTAACCTTCTCGCCAAATACCGGGATTGCTTTGCTACGTCGTCGAAGGTGCGCCAGACCACCGTTGCGAAGCACCGCATCGTTACCGAGGACGACGCGCGCCCTGTGCATCGATCACCTTACAGAGTCTCCGTTAAAGAAAGGGAGGTGATCCAGGGGCAAGTTCAAGAGATGCAGAACGACGACATCATCAAACCTTCAAGCAGTCCGTGGGCCTCCCAGTCGTACTGGTTGAGAAGAAGTACGGAACGCTTAGGTTCTGCGTGGACTACCGGCAGCTGAACGCGGTGACGAAGAAAGACGTCTATCCACTCACCCGCATCGACGACACATTAGACCGGCTGCGCCACTCTCGATACTTCTCATCGATGGACCTGAAGAGCGGCTACTGGCAGATCAAAGTCGACGAACGGGACCGAGAGAAGACAGCTTTTGTCATGCCGGATGGGCTGTACGAGTTCAAGGTGATGCCCTTCGGACTGTGCACGGCGCCAGCAACTTTCCAGCGTGTCATGGACACCGTACTGGCAGGACTGAAGTGGCAGAGCTGTCTTGTCTACCTCTACGACGTCGTGGTGTTTTCCAGCGACTTCGATGAGCACTTGCGACGACTCCGAGCAGTTCTCCAAGCCATACGGACCGCCGGACTCACCCTGAAGCCGTCAAAGTGTCGGTTCGCCTATGACGAACTGAAGTTCCTAGATCACGTGGTTAGTAACGAAGGCGTTCGGCCCGACCCAGAGAAGACTCGCGCCGTCGCTGCCTTTCCGATGCCGACAGACAAGAAGGCCGTGCGAAGATACCTTGGACTATGTGCGTACTATCGGCGCTTCATCCGGGATTTCGCAAGGATTTCCGCACCGCTCACAAACCTCACAAAGGACGCCGAGAAGTTCGAATGGGCCGAGGAGCTGCAGCAGGCATTCGACGAGCTGAAACGACGACTGCAGACTCCTGTTCTAGGACATTTCGATCAAGATGCGGAAACCGAAATTCACACGGGCGCAAGTAACGCTGGACTTGGTGCGGTACTGGTTCTAATCCCTACGCAAGTCGGACACTGTCCAAGGCAGAGAAAAATTACTCCACGACTGAGAAAGAATGCCTTGCGGTCTTCTGGGCAATCACGAAGTTTCGTTCCTACTTCTACGGGAGCCCGTTCCGCGTAGTCACGGACCACCACTCGCTCTGCTGGCTTGCGAACCTCAAGGACCCGTCGGGACGCCTTGCTCGATGGAGTCTACGACTACAAGAGTTCAACATGAGTGTGGTCTACAAGTCAGGCCCCAAGCACAGCGACGCCGACTGCCTGAACTACAACGACATGGCACGACGTCAAAGAGACGATCCTGAGTTGCGTGCGCTAATCGAGCAGC